GAGTCTCACTGTCGCCCAGGCTGGAGTGCAGTGGCACACTCACAGCCACTGCAGTCTTGACCTGCTGGCCTCAGTTGATCTTCTGCCTCAGTCTTCCAAGTAGCTGGATCCACAGGCATGCATCGCCACACCCAGCTAATTTTTTGATTTATCATAGAGATGAGGTCTCACCAAGTTGCCTAGTCTGGTCTCGAACCCGCGGGCTCAGGCAATCCTCTCACCTTGGCCTCCCAAAGTGCTGGGATTACAGGCTTTTTCCCTCCTTTTATTTCCTTTCTCCCTCTTCCTTTTCTGTCTTTTCATTCCTGAATCTTGCTCATTTTCTCTGTTCCTTCCTCACAATAATTCTGGTCTCCATCTGAATCCCCCCTTCCCCAGACCTAGGGAATCCTGGGTGTTCCAGGACAGCCCCTCTGACCCCCTTTCTCTCCTTAGGCCATGCAGATGGTACCTGTTCCGTCCAGTACCTTTGGGAGCTTCTTCGATGGTGACTGCTATGTAGTCCTGGCTGTAAGTTGGGGCCCGGCCAGGGAGGGGACTGAGCAGACAGCAAAGGCCACTGTGGTGTCAGGGAGAAAACAGGCTGGGGGCCAGTGGAGAGAACAGGCCTGGCTTTGCCCTGAGACAGGATGTGCTGAGTGTGCCCAGGTGCTATCCCTGTGGTAGGTCTACAGGGGTCAGAGGCTTCCCCTGCCCTTGAGTCGCTGAGCTCCCAGCTGAGGCAACTGTCTATGGATTCACAGTCTTGGGGGACCTTCTGAGTTGGTGCCATATCACCCTTTTTTTTTTTAATGGGAGTCTCACTCTGTCGCTCAGACTGGAGTGCAGTGCCCGCTCCCAGCCACGGCAGCCTCGACCTGCTGGGCTCCGGCGATCCTTCTGCCTCAGCCTTCCAAGTAGATGGAATTACAGGCACGCACTACCACGCCCAGCTAATTTTTTATTTATTGCAGAGATGAGGTCTCACCAAGTTGCACAGGCTGGTCTCGAACCTGTGGGCTCAGGCAATCCACTCACCTCGGCCTCCCAAAGTGCT